GAGTTTATTGATTTGGCAGCACCGCCCCAGATAGCGCAGGCGTACAACATATATTCTTTGGTCCTATCTTCCATACACGGTTGTTAGGAGACCCATTAGGGTTGTTCTTGGGATGAATTCCTCAGGGTGGTTTTCCGTTGCCTTTCTTGAGCTTCCAGGCTTCTGTAGGAGCCTATCTCCGATACGGGTCTGGGGACTATCGAGCAGGCGCGCCTCACAGGCAGACCCCTAATGAGCCTGGAATTTGATATTCTCCGCCGGATGTCAGTCTTAGTTTCGATATCTGAACTGTTCGGGAGAAAGTGAGATCTCGTGAGGGTGAATGTTGTTGGAGGTAGTTAATTTTGCCGGGTATACCGCCAGGGTTCTTTTACATGCCACAAGTGTGACATAACTACTGTGAATTTTCTGCCTTTCGAAAATCTCGAAAACCCGGGCACCTCGACTGAGATCGAACCCATGCACTGAGGATTCGGAGGCCAGTAAGCTAACCCCTCACCCACCGAGGCCCCTACAGCATATGTAGATGATCTATAATGAATTTGTAGATCTACAATGAATTTGTAAAAGGCCCTGTGAAGTATTTGCAATGGAAATTTATAGCTAATTGATATAATTTGGATAGCTTCTTTTTTGTATGGGAAGTATGGTTGTTGTAGGATTTCAAAATTAATTCGTGTCAATGAATACTCCTAATGAGACATTTTGAATCAACCCATGGAACTGTATCACTTTTAACGTTCAATAAGGGAAGGTTGGATTTTTTCGGAGTGATGCACTATATTCATCGTAACATAAGTTTAATAATGCCTGGAAGGAATATTAAAAGCACGTAATTCGGTACGTAATATTGTTTGTGACTTCCGAGCTTCTTCTGAAGAAGGCAGACCCGGTCCCACACATTTTCTGATAGCTTTTCAAAGAAGATGCGGTGTCTGATAAGGCACGGCCGTATCAATGGGAAGTAATATGACAAAAACAGGTAGTTTACAAAAACTATTCGCTTAAATGCGGAGATTTGCTCGTAGTTGTAATAGACTTTTTAAGTGCATTCTGACAAGCCAACACGTCGCATATATTTCCATCTAAAATAATCAAGACATCAAACTGTTTTAAACAACCTCTTAGATACGGGTAATAAAATTATTTTGACCAAAATATTTTGATTGTGATCTTTAATAACAACGCGTTTTGATTTCGATTTTGAAATGATTCCAAGCGGTTTAATTATACTTTCATTTAATAATTTCGAAATTAATTACCATTGTTTAGCTCTGCCATATAACAAATGTGGTGATGGCTCTTTAGCCGGCGACAGCAAAACCCTTAGCGTTTTAAAACAAAGAAAAAATGTATTTTAATGAAAAACTCCTACACCTATTTGATTAAATTATTAGTTACTTCTGGAAACGTCAACCCAGCATCCAAACTTTTCACCAATTTTTTTTTGAAAACCCAAACGCGAATAGAAACCGTTTCATTCTGTTTCGCTTTCTGCGATATATTTAATAAAAAAATAATGGTTTCGATTTAGATTTTGCTCTCACACTCGAGATAGTTTTTCTTGACATTAGCTGTGATCAATTTAATGATTGATTATTTCGAGTTATCGAGCGTGTTACCTACTATGTTCATTAGATCCTTAAGTGTAGTGCACGTTTCCCTCGGTCTTCCCCCGCTGCAAGGTGAAATCTGGCGTTGACATGCACGCCGTCTAGCAGGGTTTCCTCTACCAGATATCTCCCCAACTTAGCACCGCCGGACAACCAGGACAATTGGAAAGCAAGAGAAAGGAAAAATCGCAGGTTGCCCCTGGCCCTTTTGTTATGGTACTGCTCCGGCATTCACCAGGTTTTGATCGGAGAAACCACGGAAAACTACCCATCAGAGTAGCCGGACACTTGAATTTTCTTCCAGAAAGAGGCTGAACTATAGACCTAGATATCTAGCTAGTTTCGAAAACACTGCCATCGTCATGACACCGGTCAGAGGCACTGCAATGACATCAGTTAATGCCCTGAGCAACCTAATCCGGTAGATCAATTTAGCCGTTCCAGAGAAAGAAAATTGACCTCATGTCCTTACGATAAGAGAAAAGAACCAAGACGAAATACCTTCAGACCCCGAGAGTATATCATCGAGTGTTCAAATGAAATCTTCGTATTGTATGGAGTATTGTCAGTTGTGCAATTCACCCTGTCTTCTGATGGCAGACCGGCGAAACCAGTTTACCCTCCTTGACGGCAGTGGAGAGCCAAGTGCGCAGGCTCCAACCCTCTTCCCTTTCTCCTCCCCTTCCCCTCCATTTGAATGCGCTCTCCTCACCCCTTCCGCCGGCCCTCACTGGCCCTTGGCACGCTTGCTCGACACACCGCTAACTTCCTCTCCGCTTCAACTCGGCACCTCCCGTCCTAGCCCATCCCACGCCCACCCCCAACCCCACCCTCCCATCCCTCTCCCTTCCCGGCCGCTCCCACTCCGCCCGCCCCTCCGCACCCCTACCGGCCACCCTCTTCCCACCTCTCCTCGCCCCTTCCCGCCTCTCGCCCCTTCCCGCGTTCTCCCCGGCTTTCCGCTCATTCCCACCCTACCCGTACCCTCCGCCCTACATCCCCCCCCGCCCTCACGCGAACCTCCCGCTCCTCCCACCCCTGCCTGCCTCTTCATTCCCGCCCCTGTGGATTCTTCGTTCTTTCCCGCCCCCACGCGGTCCATCTTCGCTTTCTTCCCGCTCCATCCCTACTTGAACTCCGCTTCGTCCCCGCCGCTTCACCGCTCTTCCGTTTCATCGTCGCTCCCTGCCCTTCCCTCCACGCTCCCTTACCTATCCGTCTCCGCCCCATACTCCTCAATCCTCATCTCCGCTCCTCGTCATTGTATTCTCGCGAAATCGGTAATTCCTTGCCCTCTCCCAATTCCTTTAGTGTTCCCTCTTCTCTCCCTCCACACTCTTTCGCCTCTTTTTGTTCTTTCCCGGCTCCCTTTTTCTTCTTCTTGGTCGCTTCCTGCTCGCTTCCCGCGCCCCCACTGACAGAAGTTTAAGAACGAGCTGTTTAACAAACCGTGGATTTGCACCGATGATGTTGCTTCTGTTTGAATTATTAGATTTCTCATAAAAGAGTTGATTGTTACCAGTGTTGACTTGATCACCACTATTATCATCATGCATTTCTTGATCACTATTTGTATTGGCGCGAAAATCCGGCCTCAGTGAGCATTAAATGAATGCCTTTAAAGACGATCAGATAATTGTCACAATCATTATGTAATATCATAGTGAATGTTGTTAGCTTTCCCCCATTCCTTTTCTATATTTCCTTCCTATGCGCTCCGCTTAATTTAATTTTTAAACATTTAAATTTATTTATAAAAACCGTACAAATTGTGTCTAATGTATTGGGAAGGAATATAAAATAAATTCTTCACCAAATGTAATGTTTCCTTAACAAATGTTTAGTTCAGGTGACCCAGTTTTTTTTATTATTTTCAAAATATTGTCTTCCCTAATTCCTCAGCATTTCCGTCGATAACACGCTCTTCCTAACACGCCCTTCCCATTTAATACTCCCCGTCTATTACACCACAATTTCTCAACTTCTGATAATCTGTAATTAATTTCACACCAGTTTCATTCGTTCAACCTACAACAAAAGAATATTTTTTCATAAATTCTCGTACATAATTGATATGGCTAAGACGGGAAAGAATATGAAGAGAAACAAGGATGAGAGGAAAAAAGAAGTAAGATTGTGAAAAGGAAGAAAAGAGGTGAAAAGAAAAGGAAAAGAGAAAATAACAAGAGAAAATAAAAAATAGAAAAAAAGGAAATGAAAATAAGAAAAAACTGTAATCGTTCCTCTAATAAATGAACTTCGTATAATCGGAAATTTTTTGTATCCGAGGTAGTTTCCGTTGTAACTACCTACAACAGTTGCGAGTATACTCAAGTCTAATCACGAGTCTCGACGTCTGTAAATGATAGAAACAATATAGAAGTGATTTGTTTCAGGGCTAGGAAAAATATTTTTGTTATTACATTGTAAATCTCCAATGCTTTCTTCTTATTAATGAAATAGGCCCATCGGGTTGAGTCGCTCAAGCTCTCCCTTGCAGTACTAATTTAAGTGAAAAGATAAGAGTATATTTAATTTCCACAAATAATGGGAGATGAGATTTAATTTTGTCAAACAATTACATTTTTCACTAGTTCACTATTTAATTTCCAGTAAAATAAAACTCGCTAAATTTTCAAGAAAAATAGAATCTTCCCCCCCCCCCCATAAATATTTTCTACGACCACAAAAGATAGAAGAGAAATAATAGAAAGAAGGAATATGAAAGTGGTAAAAGGCAAGAGAATGGAAGAATGGAAGGGAAGGAGAAAAATGAGTAAGACGAAGAGAAGGGAAAGAAGAAGAAAATAGTAAAAGGGAAGAAAATGGGAAGAGATAGGTGTAAACAGAAAGAGAGAGAAAATGTATGTATGTATGTATTTCGCATTTTCGATAGATTGTCCCACTTTGCCGGCTACCTGACGGCGTCCCCCTTGCCTGAGCCTAGATTAATTCCCTCGCATGGCGGGTAAGAGAGAGATGTTGGGAACATGACGTATTTCCTACACCGTAACTAGATAACTCCGAGGTTTTCTGAGTCACGCAGCAATACAAACTGAAACGATTTTAAATAAAAGGTACAATTCTACTTTTGTCCCGACCGGGAATCGAAGCCCAGATCGCAGCACGAAGCTGGGGAAGAATGGGAAGCTATAACACTGCCCATGAGCCACCTTAGGGCTAGAGAGACGAAGTGAAGTAAAGGAGCAGAGAAGGGGAAGAGGAACTAGGAACACGTAAAGAGGGAAAAGGTGAGACCGCGAGGTTTACCAAAAAATGGGCAAAGTAGGATACAACAGAGCACAGTTGAGCTAGACAGGTCAGGGCAGAACGCGGCACGGCAGGGTAGACCGGAGCGTAGAGGAGTTTTAGTATCTTCTTTCGGAGTATGGTATGGCAGAGCAGAGCAGGGCAGTGCAGGGCAGAGCAGAGCAGAGAAGAGCAGGGCAGAGTAGGGCAGAGCAGGGCAGAGCAGGGCAGTTCAGAGAACAGCGCAGCTGAGCACAGCACAGCACAGCAGAGCAGTGCAATGCAAGGCAGGGCAGGGAAGGGCAGGACAGGGCAAAGCACGCGGAGGACAGGGAAGGACAGGACCCAACATAGCATGGCAGTGCAGAGCAGTGCATGGCAGATCGGAGCCAAAGCACGGAGGAGAATGGCAAGGCAAGGCCGAGGAGCGCATGACAGATCAAAGCAGATCAGAGCAGGGCAATGCTGGACAGGCCAGAGCAAGGCAGGGCAGAGCGAAGCAGGGACGGGCAGGGAAGCCGGGGTAGGGCCACAGCAGGGCAGGCCGCAAGGCCGAACGGCCAAACAACGCACTGCCGCAGCCCAGCCCGAGCCCAGCCCCACCCCGTGCCCCGCCCCCTGATTTTCTGTCGCGTCTTTCACCGGCTTCGCACCTGCCTTTGTGCCGGCACGTGACGGCGCATCGCCAGCAGTGGCGGCCGAGGCGCTGCACCTGCCGGCCGCCGGGGGCGCTGGCGGCGCGGTCGGCAGCTGGAGCGGCGCCCGCTCCCTCCTTCCCACACCGCACCCCCCCACCCACCCACCCCACCCCCACGCCCCCCCACCCACCACCCCCCTCCACGCCCGCCCCACACCTCACCCCGCTGCCGGCCGCTGAGGGCGCGGAAACCAACGAGCGGCAAATAGGCAGCGACGTAAATCGGGAGAAACGCAGCGCCACGAGGGGGGGCTCCGTTCCCCCTCGCCCTCTTTGGAGCCGCGCGGCGCCCCCTCCCGCCGCGCCCCGCGCGGCCCCGCCGCCAGCCCCTCCCCCGTTCCAAAAAGGCTAATATATCTCCCTACGAATGTTTAACATATCACTTAGCGTCAAGAAAGTCGATCGCGGACGCGCTAAAGGGGAGACGGCAAATAAATGCACGGGCGCGTTGCGGCCGTCGCCTCCTCCCCTTCCGCACGCCACGCCCCCAACAACACTCTTCGCGGTGAGCAACCGATATTCATTTACTGATATTAATAATTACAGAAATTTCACATTTAATATGCATGCGCATACAGTGAGTTATCGCTTACCAAACGCTCGGTGTACGAAGAGTCGCAAACGATTTTTACGCTGGGACAATGATTTTGACGAATACCTGGTAAACCAACCACTAGAATAAGGCACGGTGGGTGAAAAAAAATGACGGCAAAATAAGAAATTTAAATTAAATGGATTTTTCTTCAACACATAAATAAACGGAAAACATGCCCTGGGAAATTTGGTATTTTAGTAATTTAACTTAATATGAGTTCAATGAAACCTATTTTTGACGATCATCAGAACGAATAATAAAATACTCTTATAAAAAGCTATGATAAATCGATCATAGATAACGGTCAATTAGGGGTAACAAACATCATTACTGGACGGACTACGTCGTATAACCATTCGCTGTACTCGTAATTGCGTGCCTCAAATGGGATCCGTAGGCCAATCGCGATGGCTTCTTTACAGTTATCGAACTTTGTTTTTGTGCACAGTAAGATAGAGTTACCTGTTGCATGCAGCGCTAGAGTTTGCAAGTATCTGCGTCATTCGAACGACAAATGCCTAAAAACTGTGTGGTGGACCCCATGCACTACAATCCTTCTAGTGAGATTTCCAAGTACGGGAATGCGGCGTGTCATTAACTGATCCACTTGACTTCTTGATCAGATTAGTTTGAATTTCTTCCTTCCCATTCAAACGATATAACAAAGGTGTAGATTTTATTTATTTAGTCAGAAAAACTGTAAAAACTGTATGTGACGTGAAGGGGAGAAGACCATCTACGCACGAGTTCCAGAATCCCATCGATCATTTTAACTATAAATAGTTGAAGGATGAGTAAAAGTTAAAGATTAATTAATGAATAAAAGTAAAATTAAAAAAGCACGAGATTAGTAACATTTGAAAAACTAGATTTTTCGTTCCCGAGTTATAGAAAATGTATTTGCAACGGTAAAAGAACTGCAAGTTTAATTTTTCTGCATTGCTAACAAAATCGTTACTCATCCTTACCTCTAGTCCTACCACTACAAGCAAACCGAAAGTTCAACAAAACGTGCGCATAGTGAAGCTACATTTACGTCCAGAAGCAAAAAAAAGGGGGGCCATCTCAGCATTTGCTCAATGTATCAGGGAAACTTGATTGAGATGGGGATCATTGACTTCTAAACTGAAGTACATTATTTTTTATAAGCATATTAATTTATAAGAAATATACAATACAAATGTAATCTAATTCATTATATATCACTGTTTTGTTAAAATAAACATTATTTTTCTTTTTCATGATCAGTATAGTCTCTAATTGTATAGAAACAGTTTTGCAGCAGAAAAGATTTTACTTTGAACTTAAATTTGTGTACTGACTTTTGTGGTTTTAGTCTCTTCGTGAGTTCAGTCGCAATTCTAGAAAAGTATCGGCTGAAGAGATTAAGAGAGATAGTTGCAAGAAGATAACGGTTTTGTTAAAATTAATAATGAGGTAAATTTGAATTGACAGGTCGATTTATGGGAACGTTTTCTACTTCCACTTAAACGTGTAGTTGCACAGCTGCAAGAAATCGATGTTGATAGCGTTGCTTTTTTCAAAAAGTCTTTTTGTGGATATTCCCCAGTGGGTCTGACTTCATTCGAGACCTTGGGAACCGGATCTTTTAATTTTGGGGAGTTATTTACATAAAGTTGGCTTTCTGTGGACGCCACAGCTATCAACACCTGATGAATCCTTTGCCTGTATGTTTGGAATGTGAATTACAATCTTGCCATGACAAGTGAATTATTTTGTAGTTTATGTAATCACTTTCATAGTGCTTATTCTTTTGCACTAGTGCTGTATGTTTTGTATCATTAAAACAATTAGGAAATTTCAAAATTTTCTGTATTTTGAAACCAGAATTCATCGGTGTAGATGTCGGTTGCTCACGTGCCATGTGCCTTAAATCTACACCGAAAAATATTCTTTTCCCACCTAAATCATCCACATTTCATTATTCAGTATCACTTTGATGATCGCATGTCTTGCATTTTATCGCATTTCCTATTGTATTTATCTCTACAACTAATTATATATTCATCTATCTACTGTTAATCTACCTTTCAATCTCTCTGTCTGTCTGTCTGTCTCCCTCTCTCTCTCTCACACACACACACACATTGCATTGCTTTTTCAACCCAAATGTATGGAACTACAATCTATTTTCACATCATATGGGCTTTACTGCTCTGTGTACCATCATGTGGATAGCAACTGTCAAATCGTTTTCTTTCCTAACACATCCCTAGCGCGTAAGGACCCCTAGACATCACTCACGCGAGCAGACTCCTGGGAGCAATGGAGACATTGAGAGAACTAAAAGGGGCGTGACCCACCACGCGCCTCCGCCCTCGTATTTCAGCGCTGCACTCCATCACACCTCCCCATCGCAGGCGCGGGCGCGTTCGCTGGAGCCGGGGAGGCGGCAAGACTTTTTGCGAGGGGGCGGACGCTTCCCACCGCTTGCGGAATGTTGAATCCGAATCTTCAATGGTCCTCAAATCCCTAACATTCCTCCTACGTGTCCTACTTAATTATTTTTCTTTACACACGACTCCGTTCTTCTTTGTTGATTATACGTCACTTCTTACACACTATTTTTTATATGTTCCTCTTCTACAGTATCGAGCCGTCCGATGCAACTGCTCACGGTCCACTGCTACTTGCCATTCCCCTGCCGACACAATTCCCTGGCAGGACCAATTCCTTGACGGACTTGACTGTGACACCAGGGTCCACTGCACTGCTGTTTACCCGCGTGTCCACTTCTCAGCTCAGCTTCAACTGCAACTTCAACTGCTGACTGCTGTTTCCCCACTGCACCACTGCTTACCGCGATGCACCCTTCACAGTCGAGCTTCCACTGCAGACTTCAGACTGTGACTGCTGTTCAACCACTGCACCACTCTTCACCGCAATGCACATTCACCAGCCAGGCTTCCACTTCGGACACACTGACGACTGACTGCTTCTCTGCTACTCACTGACGGTCTTACAACCCACTGACTCTATCACGTCTTCTACTAACTGACTCGCGGCCGCCGGCAGCGGCGCATTTATACCTGCCGGCGCTTGTCTCCAGGCACCCGGCATATTCTCGGCGTTTCCCGCGGCTCGCGATAGTCCGGAACCGTCTAGTTCGGGGGGGAGGAGGGGCCGGCAGTGAGCGCAATCCAACCGCAGCGAATTCGCGTGACGCAATATTCTACATTATGTTTGGTGTTTTTTGTTTTGTTTTTTACTCACTGGAAGCGTTAAGCAATTTCAACCAAACCGCTGGCGCAATATTTTTCAACCGGTTTCGAGAAAAAACAGGGATTGGTGATGACGAATAAAATTGTTTATAGCTCGCTTCAGTAAAAAATGATGTATAATTTAGGTGTCCGTTGTGTTAAGTTCTCACTTGTGACATTGGACTTTATATGACAACAGTGATTGTGATCTCAATGTCATTGTAATATTTCCAATAAAAATAAAATGCGAGAATCCACCTAAGACTGTTATCTCAAAGGAGTGGTGGATCATTTCGAGAGGGTTGTTTTAGCATAAGGATAACTCGCTGGATTTCACTTTGTTGAAATTATCTCTATTATCGGTGTAGTGCCCTTCCCCTCTTCGACCGACTATAGAAAATGTTACAGGGCCTATTCGATATTTAGTAGGAGAGTGTTAATCTTAGACCAAAAACTGCAGCTTTTCTACCAGCCGCTCCTCCTGGGTGTCCTCACTTAGTTGTTCTATGCTTCCTTTAATCTCATATTTACCGTTCAATTGTGAACGCCTAAAAACTCTTTCAAAATGTTTGGCGAACAGATAGAAAGTTATTGTGCGTGATATTGAATTCCAAGTCTTAGGTTATCAAGTGAGCGTTCTTAAAAAAAACCTGCCTGCCCTCGCGCAATTTGTTGTGTGTCATTCTCTTTCTATTCTCCAAACATTCTTTCTACTAGTCAGTGTCGATTAAGCCAATTTTACGCTGCATTCTAGCTCGTGTTTGCCTACCTATATCTCCCCTTTAGCATACCCTCGAGGAGTGCACGCTACCACGTGTGGTAATTTGGGGTCCTACTGTTTTTGGAGCCTCGCGGTATGCACAATTCCACGGCTGTGATATGCGAGACAGATGTGGACGTTAGATCTCCGCAAGTTATGAGTCGTAAGCAGATTATCAGGATTTTACTTTTATTACATTCCACAGTGATGTTTATCTATACGAGACTATGTGGCGCAAAATAAACTCGATTGTTAATATGAATATCGATAAATCGCGGCTTATGAGTAATGACACGCGGAATAAACTCAGTACTATTAGTAATCGCTCTCTCTATCGCTTAGTGGCAGTGCTTAGCTGACTGGAAGGTTTTCTGAACTCAGTGGCAGTCCAGCATAGCTGAGATCTCTCCGACACATGTGCAAGTTGATGCTCTGAGTATGGTGCTCTGTCATATCTCGGGGTTCCGCTGCAATCGTCTTTCTGTGAGACGCTCTTCGCATGCCGGCTGTCTTGATGGGTAGACTTTACGTCATTTTTCGGATAGCCATGCCGGAGGTATGTCGGATTCTTCCTTATACACACGGACCTTTGCGACGTAATACTTTACACTTGTCCTGCCCTTACATTCATCAAACAGGGATTACATGACCAACATACGAACACTATACGGAGGACAAACAGGGCGAGCTTTAAAGCTTCGTCCGGTTGGAAGGCAGCTCGCCCCGTGATGGCTACCAGGTTGTGGATATTCGTACGTGTTTACAGGTGCGGTTCG